CCCATCACGCGTAACGGTTCCTTGGGAAGACAAACGCCATCACTCCAGATGTACCCCCAGCCTCCTTCTTCCTCCCCCCTTATATACTGAGCATGATGTCCTATGGTATGGAATATCCCTTTGGACAGTTTGGGTCACCTGTCCCAGCTGTGTCTCCTCCCACTCTCCCATGCATCCCCAACTTCCTTGCCAGCGTGGCAGTACGGAAAGCAGCAAAGGCCTTGACTCTGTGTAAGCTCTGCTCAGCAACAACAAAAACATCTCTGCATTATCAACTCTGTGTTCAGCACAAAACCCAAACATAGCCTCATACTAGCCTCTATGAAGAAAGTTAACTCTACTCCAGCTCAAACCAGCACACTAACACATCCTGCTTCTGCTTCCTTCTCTTAGTCTGAGAGATCTCTGGGAGTCCCCTGCTTTGGAATAAGATGCAGAAGCCTTTGAAAATCCTCCCAAAATTTTGATATACAGGGAATAACTTCATTACTTTTCAATGAAAGATACACTCTAGCATCGAGGCATAGAAAACTTCTCAATTAACAGGTCTGGCCCTAACTCTTTATTGACTGAAAATTACCTTAAAGACTTAAAATATGGTAGGGTGGGTTGGGACTAGATAATCTGCAAGGTTCATTCCACCCCTTAAATTCTATGATTCTATGAAAAGACAGACACACAAACAGACATCTCAATTACTCTATACATTCATCTACAGGTGACTTAGGGATCTCCAAAGAAGCATGAATGGATATGGAATGATGATAAAAGCACTCATGAATATGCAACTTTTTATGTCAAATAAACTCATGAAGCTCAGAGTCCTAGAAAGTCATCTGACTTTTCCCTGAATTTATCAGCCAACCCTATGCATAGAAACAGACACTACAGGCTCAAGTGAACTTTAGTCCTCCCAGTTCAATACCTTTTCCCTCACGATGGTCAATAGAAGCTTCATTATGACAGGAATGCAGGTTCTCCACTGGAGGAAATATGAAATAACCTGCCTGCTGGAGAAGCTCCTCTTTGAATTCAGGCAACCTGTTTGGCTTATACCCTTTGGGAAATGCTATCCTAGTAACTTTTCATGCTTTGGTACATAGCTCTGAAATGAATTGTGTGTTTGCAGGATGAAGGCCAAATCCGCTATCACATTGTGCTAGATGAGAAGCTCCTGAAGAATGACCTGCACAATGGCATGCACAGGGAGACCATGCTAGGGTTCTCCTACCAGGTTGGGTTCTTCCTCCACAACAGCCAGGTACAGCTGTCTGCATTTGCTTGGAAAAACAGGTTTCCTGCTTTTTACAAATCCATCTTCAACTTTCAACTAAGATGCAGTCAAAGGATCTGTGCATCCCTCATTAACTTCTGCTACGTGACAGCACAAAAGTTGTCACTCAAATTTAAGGCCTGTCTCAGACCTGCTTAATTCCAAGTCACCCTTGGAGGGATCTCTGCTTGAATTTGATTTCAGTTGTGCTGTTCACATTTAACATTGCATTTCAGATGTCTGGCTCTAGGAATTACAAGCCTGTGTTGCAAAACAGTCATGAATCTGACCTCCAAGCGCTATTAGAAATCTGCCTCCAATTATCAAACATTAATTCTGCTTTCTGTGGGTTTATTCCATGTTCAATCCTAGAGTTCAAAGCATTGAGAAACAAATATGAACTGTCTTTCAACACCACTCATGATAAAAATCAGGTACAGAAACATTAAGGGCAGAATAAGAAAAGGTACTTGGTGCTCCTTGTCTGTCCCAGAGCTCCCTCTGGCCATAGGCAAAAGAAGACAGAACATTTCTCACTCAAGCAGCTTCAGCCCTACTCTTTGCTCTGCCCACAGCAGAGCTTTGGAAAAGCATTTGCAGTGGAGCTGTTGCTGCTGAGGGCACAATAGGAACGTAGAGTAGCATTGAGATGAGAAGACTGCATGAAGACCTCAGAGCAACGTTTCAAATATCTGAAGGGCCTACTAGGGAGCTGGAGAGGGTATCTGTGTTAGGAACTGCAGTGATAGGACAAAGGGTAATGGCTTCAAATTGAAGGAGGGACGTTTTGGTTAGATATTAGAAAAAAGATTTTTACAGTAAGAGTGGTGAGACATTGGAACAGATTGCCCAGGGACATGGTGGCTGCCCCAAACCTGACGGTGTTCAAGGCCAGGCTGGATGAAGCCTTGAGCAACCTGATCTAGTGAGGAGGTGTCCCCGCCCTGGGCCGGGGGGTGGGGCCAGATAATCTGTAAGGTCCATTCCAACCCTTAAATTCTATGATTCTATGGTGAAAGTCCCCCTTGAAGAAGCAGCTGCTGGAAGGGTTCTCTGAAGCCCCTCATCCCCCAGACAGCAGATGCACCTTCTGTCATGCTTTAGGCTCCTTTTTTACACCTTTTACCTTTACCCCTCCCCCTTGGTGGATAAAGCTGCTCTGCCAAATTCTGTTGCTAAGAAACTTCAGCAGAATGCAAGTCATCTCATGCTCTCCAGTCCAGTGAAGCAGTTAAGTGTAGCAACTGGAATACCAGCCTGATGCCAACTACCTGTGTCAGTTTTCCTGAAGTGATATACATTGCTTCTCCTTTTACCTGTTTCTGCCCTAGTTACCATACAGTCAAGGAACAGCTCTGCTGCTTTCTAACTGTTTGCATGTCTTTTGCAGCTCTTCATAAATGATGCACCTATTAGCTACACAAATGTTGCAACAGACAAAGGAATTATTCATGGATTGGGAAAAGTCCTGGAAATCCAGAAGAACAGATGTGATATCAATGACACTGTGATCATTGTAAGTGTTCAATCAGAGAGATCTATAGCCAAACAACAGCTCAAGTGTACAGGATACGTAACACCATTTCCCAGTGAGGAATGCACACAGTTTTCTACAAAGGATATTCCTACCAGAGTTGTAGCATCTCTTAAGACAGTTTTGATCCTGCAATTGATGTACTGACAGCTGGGATAAAAATATAATCAGAGTAGCACAGGAATAAACAATTCCTGAGCTTTAATTTTCAGAAAGTAATAGCAATACACTATTCTAATACATCTCTTAGCCAGTCCACTTGTTTGTAGTGTAGACAAGATGGGAAAAAATAAAAAACAAATATTTTTTAAGGAAAAAAAATTTATTTTCATTTCAAGTACAGATTACCACAGTACATACACATGAACTCCTGGTACCCTCTGAGCAAAACATTCTTCTTCCTTTGTTCCCTTTACATTTGAAAAGTAAATTTACATTCTCTCAAGAATAAGATGTGATTTCCTCAAACTGGCAGAGAAAAGTGTCATTTGTCTTTTCTCCTGAGTGAGTCAAATAGGACAGCAAACAGGTAGCTTTGCTGCCTTTTTATGGAGCATGCAGTGAGCTAAACAAGGGGAAAAAAGTGAGACTTGTGCTTCAGTTAAAGCAAAGTTAACAGGCATGACTTTTGCAGCTTTTCCTTGGAATATAGATTCACATTTAAGTGAAGAAATTCTGACTGTTTAAGGAAGCAGTAGAGTTACCACCCCTGAAAGTGAGGGTGGTGAGACACTGTCCCAGGTTGCCCAGGGAGGCTGTGGCTACTCCAACCCCGGCAGTGTTCAAAGCCAGGTTGGATGAAGCCTTGAGCCTCCCACCTGGTCTGATGGGAGGTGTCCCTGCCCAGGGCAGGGAGTTGGGGCTAGATGACCTCTAAGGTCCATTCCAGCCCCTTAACAATCTATGAATCTATAATTCACTCAAGGCTTCTCCACAGCTTTGTTGTGTCACGTCATTTGTATTTAGTCCTTTGTTTGCCAATGGAAAGTTATCTTTCCTGCTTTATTTAAATGCAGAAACATACTAAAACATTCAGTTCAGCGTTGTCAAAAGCAAGGACATAGCTAGCTAAATGGGAATGGTATTGAGAACTGTGTATTAGGTACACACATATCTAAGCATTTTGCAGAAATCAGCCTTACACATGTGAAGGATTCATATGCATGTATAGCTCAGAACATGCACATGGTGTGAGCTTTCCATTCCAAGCTGCCCTTGAGCCACAGGCAAACTATGCCCAAGCTCAGGATTTGCCTCTTATTGTGGTTTAGATACCTCAGGGAAGAATAACTTTAGAAGAGCAAATAAAAATATCCAAAGTATCTTTCCTTCCCCTTGGGAGAAACCTTTACGTAGAGTGTCCCTACAGAGCTGCTGCTGGGAATATTCTTCCTTGCTGAGCAGCACAACTACCATCACCACCTTTAGCAAGGAGGTTATCCTGATGATGCACCCCCAGGGTTAGGTTTAGAAATACAGCTGGAAATCATGCATTTTCTATGATACAAGCTGTTTGCAGCTCTGTACAGTCTTGTTAACTCCCTCCCATTTCTGTTGCTTAAGGAGAAGTGCACAATTTGTTCACAAGCATCAAGTTGTCCCCCGGGAACAAAAGAAATAGTAAGTATTTTGCCACTAATTTTACCATTATGTTGTGCCCTCAACACAAGAAGGACATGGAACTGTTGAAGCAAGTCCAGAGGAGGCCATGAAGCTGCTAACAGGACTGGAGCACCTCCCCTATGAGGACAGGCTGAGGGAGTTGGGGCTGTTCAGCCTGGAGGAGAGAAGGTTGTGTGGAGACCTCAGAGCACCTTTCAGGAACTGAAGGGGCTCCAGGGAAGCTGGAGAGGGACTCTTGGTTAGGGACTGCAGTGACAGGACAAGGGGCAATGGGTTCAGACTGAAGGAGGGGAAGTTTAGGTTAGATATTAGAAAAATGTTTTTTACTCTAAAGGTGGTGAGACCCTGTCCCAGGTTGCCCAGGGAGGTTGTGGCTGCCCCAACCCTGTCAGTGTTCACAGCCAGGCTGGATGAAGCCTTGAGCAACCTGCTCTGGTGGGAGGTGTCCCTGCCCAGGGCAGGGAGTTGGGACTGGATGATCTCTAAGGTCTTTAGGTCCAACCCCTAAAATTGTGTGATTCAATGTTCAGGCCATTCCTGAACTTGCAAGAGCAGTTTCTAGTATCCTCTGGGACAACTGAAAGCTCCTCAAACTGCAAAGTTTACCTCTACCATGCAAACCTGAGGGAGTTGAACATGGTCTGGAGTCTGCTTGCTACAGGAGAAATTACAGAAGCAGCTTTGACCCCTTCTAGAATTATCTCCTTCATTTTCATTGCAGGGCACAGCTGGCATAAAGTTCATGACCCATTTTTTTCAAGCATTTGAAAGTAGCTGATCAATATAATTCAGAAGTGCATCTGTTTCCCTCATATTTGCTCAGGCAGGGGAGAAGAAATACTGCATCATCTCAGAAAACAGGAGAATGTACACCATCCAGATTGGGTGCCAGCCAAAGTGTGCTAAAACCATCATTGTGAGTACACTGCTCCTTATCTCAGCAAAAGCCAGGAACTTCCATCCCTGAACTTCACCCTCCTCATAATCCTGCTTAGCACACACACCATGTCAAGGCAGCTCCTGACAACATTCCAGCCTTTATTCTGGATGCAGCAGAGATTGCAATATTAAAGGTTGATGATAGTTACAGCACAGGAAGGGCTGGGACCCAATGCGGTGCAGAGGGATCACAGGTTTGGGGAGGGTAACCCTATGCTTGTCCCTAGTGATCCTGTCCACTTTTACCTGAGGTGGTGAAGAGCACCTGGGTTCCACCAAGGATATGGAGTAGCAGTCTGAGCCTGGGCACACTGAGTGTGGCCACAGACCAACAGAGCTGAATCACTGTGAAAACTCACAGAATCATAGAATGGTTTGGGTTGGAAGGGACCTTAAAGATCAACTCTCAAAGCCAAGTTGGATAAAGCCTTGAGCAACCTGGTCTGGTGGGAAGTGTCCCTGCCCATTGCAGGGGGTTGGGACTAGATGATCTCTAAGCTGCAATCCAACCCCTGAAACTCTATGATTCTAACTAGTTCCAACACCAGTGCACTAGGCAGGAACATCTTCCACAAGCCCAAGCTTGTTTAAGGCCCCATCAACCTGGCTTTGAACACTTCCAGGGATGGGGCATCCACAACTTCGCTGGGGAACCTGTTCCAGTGCCTCACCACCCTCAGAGTAAAGGATTTCTTCCTTACACCTAACCTAAACCTACCTTCTTTCAGTTTGAAGCCACTACCCCTTGTCCTATCATTCCATGCTCTTGCAAAAAGCCAGACCTCTAGCTTGCCATGCTGCTACCCTGCTCCTCAGCACAGCATTTCTGCTTCCAGACCAGGCAGTGCTGCGCAGGTTTCTTCGGACAGCAGTGCCAGCCTTGCCCAGGAAAAGCAGGGAATGCCTGCTTTGGAAACGGTGTCTGCCTGGATGGCATCAATGGCACAGGCAGCTGTGAGTGTGAAGAGGGGTTTGTCGGCACAGCCTGCGAAAGCTGCGTCGAAGGCAAATACGGCCACAACTGTGATCAAGGTACTGAGCAAGGCACAGGTTGCCCAGGGAGGCTGTGGCTGCCCCAACCCTGGCAGTGTTCACAGCCAGGTTGGATGAAGCCTTGAGCAACCTGCTCTGGTGGGAGGTGTCCCCGGGTTGGGGCTGGGTGGTGTCTAAGGTCCATTCCAACTCCTAAAATTCTAGGAGTCTATGTTCAGGCCCTTCCTGCTACCCTCCCTGCCCCTCCCTGCTGTGCACACTGTGCCCTGCTCAGGGCCAGTGGCTTCCTCCCATCTTTCCCCGCAGTGTGCACTTGTGTCCATGGGAAATGCAGCAGTGGGATCGATGGAGACGGCACCTGTGAATGTGATGTTGGCTGGAGAGGGGTGATGTGTGAGACTGGTGAGTGTTCCATCCTAATTCTTTTGGGATGAGAAGTGAGCATATGAGGAAATGACAGAACTACAGGCAGATTCCAGTGCACTACCACATAGCCAGCAGCTCCCCACACACATTGAAGTACAGGTCACACTCCTGTGCTATAGCAACTAACTATTGTATTAATAGAGAGCCAGCTGAGATGCTGCTCATGATCCTTAAACATCCTCATTCACTAATTCTCTACCTGTGTCACCAAACGATATCCCATTTATTAACGCTATACATTTTCCAGAGTAGGACTACCTAATACATTTTGATCCTCAGATCAGAAGCCTCTCAAGTGCTTCAATAAGTTGCTTTAGCAATGCAACACTGGATATTAAATTATGTTCATGCTAATGCAATCAAAAATAATCAGCAAATAAATCATCTTGTGTTGGTTTAATACAGCTCCTTTATCCAATCCAATTATATTTTAGTTAAACATAATTTAAATGTATTAGATAACTCTTTCAGAACTCTACACATAATGGTATAAAATAATGGTACAAACATATTAATAATAGTATTCAATATCAGTTTTCATTTTTCCCAGGGGAAAAAATCGTAACAAATAGAATTTTATAATAGGGTTGCTGTATCTGAGGAAAATTTCTGTTCCTTTAGAAAACCTACACTTAAGTAATTCAGCTACTAATATGTAAGATTCACCAGAGTAGACACAGACTAATGACATCAGGTGAGATGTTTCCCTGACCATATGATGACGACTCTTCCTAACAACTGGATTAAAGTGGTATCCACTGGTATATACAAGTGGAGTCTCCATACAGACTGAGAGCACAGTTGTCTGTTGCAGAACTCAGAACTCCCAGGTCCACTTGTTGGGAGCAAAGGACTCTGAACCTATAAGGATATTAACCCAAAAGTTTCTGATCCCTGCTTCGTTTTTTTTTCCACTTGCAGAAATCAAAGACGATGCGTGTAACACCTCATGCCACACCAGTGCTAAGTATGTATGAAATGCACTTATGTAGAGGAGAGGAAAGAAAAAAGGGATCTCTTGCAAGGCAAAAAGCATAGTCTTGCTCATTATGACTTCTCAGTAGCATAGATAACAGTCATGTTTTCTATCATAGATAAAATGTAAATGTAATGCATTTGGTGATGAGGGAAAAATGTTCAAAGTGTGTATGTTAGAAGGGGAAAAAATGGAATTTTGTGGGGAAGAAAAAGGAGAGAGAAAAAAAGCAAGATATCCTACCTTGCAGTATACAAAGAAATGGGGCAACACTAGAGGATAAAGGAGGCCAGACCAAGACTGATGATATATGTGAGTTTCTGAGGTGACCTTCATCAGCTCCTCCTCTTTGCCCCATCCACCACCAGACACATCACTGAAAAATGCCATCAGTACTAGGGATAGAAAAGCTACATTTGATGGCACAGCTCTCCATATCAAAATATACAAACAGCCAAAAAAATTGCTCTCACCAGTCCAGCACCAATAGTGGGACACTAGTTTCCAAAGGAACAAGTGACCCCCATGGAGATACATGTGCCAGACAGCAAAATTTACAGAACAAGGAAAGGTGGCTGGGAAGTTTCCTTATGTTCAGCTCCTGCTCTTCTGTGGGAGCTGAGAAACTAGAGGCAAACCTCTTTTTCCCAGGGGGAAGCACACTCCTCTGTGTGTTTGTGAACTGCAGTTCACAGCAGAGATATTTTACCAGGATTACTTTGGCAAAACTCCACTCTCAGATTTGCTCATGGGGAGCCTACACATTCTGGTACCAAGACTGTGTTTCTGAGAGGAGAAGCAGACTGTTTTTTTCTAGTGCTTTTCATTCCCTGATGCCCAGGGTCCTGTAGGTACAAGGATTGACACAGGCATGGCAGGACTGGAGGGGAACTGGAGGTTGTGTTGGCTGCACTGTGATGTTGTCCCTGGTTGACAGGGAACAATCTCACAGGGCAGTAAACTCACACTTTCATACACAAGGCCAAACCATCCATAAAAAAACCCAGACTTAAACCCAAAGAACTCAAATGCTTGGCTTCTCACCCTACTCATCAGCACTGCTATGTCCCTCCAGAAACTGTGTACACACAGACAAAAATCTGTGCACAGTTTTTTGGCTGAGCAGATGTGCAGTCTGGAGTTCTGCATGAGAGAACAGTAAAAACAGGACCCTTCATGACCAAAGCGTGCAACTTTAATACTTAAAGTAATACATCCAAAATACATTTGAAAAGTTTGGTTCGTGTTTAGGTTCATTTTTTCTGTTGCAATTACATCATACTGCATGGTTAAATGCCTTGTTATTTTGTGCACAGAACAACTCACACAAACCAGGGCTGTACAAAAGACCTGACTACTTTTTTCATCTCTTTTTTTTTTTTCTCTTGTTCCAATGTTGTCTCCTTCCCTTTACTTTATTAGCTGCCTTCTCCTATCAAATGGCACTGCCTATTGCAAGTGTGCAGCTGGGTTTGAGGGGAACGGGACATTCTGCACAGGCAAGTGGATTTTGTTTCTTCCCTTTTGAAAAGAAACCTGCTTGAAGCACTCTCTGTGGTCACAGTAGAGCTGGTGAGAGATGAGCAGCTCCCTATGCACCAGTTACAAAGCAGGAATTGCTGCCAGTTCAGTCCAAACAAATACGAGCCCAACAGGTGATGGATTCACAGAAAACAAAGGGCTCCAAATCTCCAAGTTGCAAGGCATTGTGCAAAGGCAGACCAGAGAAAAGGGAACGTGCTGTGCACAGCCCTGGCCCCATTGTTTGCAGAGTAATAAAACCTGGTTTGTGACTTTTACTCCTTTTCCCAACAAAGCTCAGCACAGAGAGGCCAATTCAGGGCACAATAACACTTCCAGCTATTGGAAGCTGTATAGCCCTACCATTTCCTCAGTTTTCTCAGGTTTCTGGTGCGGGAAAATCCATTTCTTTAGACCAGAGAGACCTGAGAGACCCACAGAAACGGGCAATAGTAGCTTATCCTAAGTGCTCCTCCAACAGTCCAGGATATCCAGATCCATGAAACAGACCCCTTCAGCTACACTGATCATGATTAATCTTACAGTTGTTTTTCTAAATCCTTAACTGATTAAAATATTAATGCTTTTGGGAACAGAAGTGTATTTTTCTACTTGCTCATAATGGCTGGCAGGGCCTTAATTAAAGATTTTAGCACTCTTACTCTCTCTGCTTCATTTTCTCTTCTGGCACAAACAATCAGACCCGTTTTAATCTACGGTGGGCAATTCCCCAAATGCAGGAATAGCTGAGTGACACAGGACACTCTTATTGATTCTGTACTCCCCCTTGTTCCCCTATGCAGCATTCCTGGGCAAACTAGTTACAGGAAAAGTCAGCAACCTGATCTGGCTGCTATAGCTGCTGAAACAGCAACTTAGAGTAATTTGAGGCAAAAACTAAAGCAGTGTTTGGGCTGATTTGATTTGCACTGAAGATCAGATAAGGCTCCCCCCTCCTCTCAGGGTAACCCACACAAACCCAATTTGTGAGCCTCCAACTGATCCAGAGCTGCTGAAACAGCATGATTATCTGAATAACAGACAGCACTTTCTGTCACAGGAGGACTAGATGGTGTTATAGTCTAGACCTCCTGCAAGAGAAGTTATATGACCTGTGTGCAGAAAAAAATCAAGCTAAGGGAAAGCCATTTAAAGGCCAGAAAAGAACATGGAAGTCTCTTTTTTGGTGCTTGGCTGAAATGGGCAGAAATGGAAGATGGGAAGTTACTGAAAGTCTGTCCTGAATGAATCCTTACCTTCCAGACTAGAACTATCTAGAACCTCCCAGACTAGAACCTCATCTGGGTGAGGCCTTGTGCAACCTGATCTAGTGAGGAGGTGTCCCTGCCCAGGGCAGGGGGTTGGGGCTAGATAATCTGTAAGGTCCATTCCAACCCTTAAATTCTATGATTCTATGATCTTCTCAGCTTTCCCTCTTGAAACAATAGAATGTACTAAATATCCTGCACTAATCAAGTTTGTGGTCTCTAAATCAGAGAAAACTTCTGTGTTCAGAAAACAGCAGTAAATTACTTTAACACATAGAGACAGATTAACCTGGAAAGCAAAAAGCCAGTTAAGCACATTGGTTTAACCTGGGTTATTGTCACTGTTCAGCTATCAATGCTTGTGAGACCAGCAATGGTGGGTGCTCTGCCAAGGCAGAGTGCAGAAGAACAACCCCAGGGAACAGAGTCTGTGTCTGCAACGCTGGCTACACTGGGGATGGAATAGTCTGCATTGGTAAGCATTTAGCACACCTCATGGTACAAAACTACAGGGGTGATTTTACCTATGGGTGGATGATCCTTATGACCCAGAAGTGCAGTTTCCTGGTGGTAATACCCTGATGCTGAACACATGTCTACCTGCTACATGGCTGATACCACTTGGCAAACCATGTAACTCCAGCAGTGTGGTGTGACACCAAAGCTTATTCAACAAGCTTCTCAACAAGGCTAACCCAATCCTCTCCAGCAGCTCAATACACTCACACTCCTCTGCCCATGCAAATTTTAAGCTTCTTAAGCATTGTTGTACCACACCTTCCCAGGTTTGGTTTCAGAAATGCTGATGATAGAGTTTTAGCCTTCACCAATACAACTGAAGACTGAGGTACTAAGCAGCTAAGGGAATGAATGTTATTGGTTCACAGTTGTCCTAAATCTGCATTCCTAGTATGCTTTGCTTAAAATTCTCCCTCTTTGGGTTTTCAGAGGTCACTCTTTCTTTCTTACACTGTTTCTGCTTTATACAGAGTTCAACCCTTGCCTGGAGAACAATGGGGGATGTGATAGAAATGCAGAATGTACACAGACTGGACCCAACCAAGTGAGTACTTTGTCAGTGAGAAAAAAACAAGACTGGCTGAGTGTTTACAGTTGGGTAAAGAAAGATTTGCCTATCTCAATTTAGTTTTTAAATACACAAGTGGATTTCATAACAGATATTCTGAAAAGTATATGTTTCCTTCAAAGAACTATTGGAGGGGGAATGTGAACAAACATGAACAAATTCATTTCAGCAAAGAAATCCAAAACTGCTGAGAAAAGCAGTGTTTTGCTATTTCAAGTGGTTGTTTTTCTCCTCTGGGAGGTTTTGAAGTGAAAACCTGTCAGTTTGAAAGTATTGCCAAATGATGTTTCTTTTATTGTTATAGAAACTGTACATGGAAAATTTCCATTTCAGACTAGCCCTTCCCCCAGCACAGCTCAAACACAAGGAAACAAATCAGCCCGAGTCAGAGTTCTCACACAGGGGTTACAGCATTCTGGCATCCTCTGCTGTCCTCATCTCCCATGCAGAAGTACCACACACTCCCCAAAGGAAAGAAGTATAAGAGGACAAGGGGACAAAGGAGAAGCAAATTGGTCAGGACAATTGAGTGACACAGATTAGCAGTTTTATTTTTCTAACAGATTCAGAAGCAGCTGAACTCCCTGGCTGTACCACTTCTTGTCATCTTCCTATGGTTTTACATTTGGTGTTGGCAGGACTGGAATCCTCCAGTGAACACTGCACAACAGTATTTCTTCAGCAGTAAGGCAGGAAACAGAGAACAGGAGACAGAGGATACCCCCTGTTTTCCAGGTTTTCAGGGACAGGAGGGACAACAACACCATTAGCCCTTTTTGTCAATCCAAACACTTCACTCTTTGCCTTGACTCTCATTTGCAAGTCAGTACATTTCCAGTGGGAGCACAGAGTCACTCAAGTCCTTCCTCATCCCTCTAGACAAAGACAGATGATGGTTATTTTCTTCCAAACACCTTCGCTGGAGATAGAATTAGTAGCTACAACATTATTATATACATTTCCTTACCCATGGGCATGTAGTTAACATCAGAGCAATAACAACTTCCACTACAAAATCCCAGCACTGCAAAGGTTGGGATATATGGGACAGAACTGTCTCTGCTTTCAGTAGGTCTCTCAGTCATCCAGAAGGTACACAAAATACTGCTATTACACTGCCTTCCACTATTATTTCTACTGCAGAATCATAGAATCAACTGGGTTGAAAAAGACCTCCAAGATCATCAAGTCCAACCCTACCATCATTACTAGACCATGGCACTAAGTGCCACATCCAGTCTCATCTTCAAAACCCCCAGGGACGGTGAATCCACCACCTCCCTGGGCAGCACATTCCAATGCCTGATCACTCTCTCCATAAATAATCTCTTCCTAATATCCAACCTAAACCTCCCCTGGCAGAGCTTGAGTCTGTGCCCTCTTGTCCTCCTGCTGGTTGCCTGGGAGAAGAGACCAACCCCCACCTGACTCCAACCTCCTGTCAGGGAGTTGTAGAGGGTGAGAAGGTCTCCCCTGAGACTCCTCTTCTCCAGGCTCAACAACCTCAGCTCCCTCAGCCTCTCCTCATGGGACTTGTGCTCGAGTCCCTTCACCAGCCTCGTTGCTCTTCTCTGGACCTGCTCCAGCACTTCAATATCCCTCCTGAACTGAGGGGCCCAGAACTGAGCACAGGACTCAGGGTGTGGCCTCACCAGCACCAAGTCCAGGGGAAGAATGTCATTGAATTTGCAAACTCTTACATATTAAATGCAAACTCTAAATTGAGAACCATTAAGCAGTGACTTGGAGAAGATAGCACATTTCTTTGCAACTAGGTTCATTTTTCATCTTCATGATAACTGCAAGTGCAGAACAGAGTAATCATAGCATAAATCTGGTGAATTCCCACTGCATGGGAAGCTGTCATTAACATCAGGACACAGTTCCAGGTGTGTTTTGAAGATACATTTCACCACTAAAAAAAAAAACAACTGGGAAAGGGAAGAGAGGGGAATATCAACCTATGCAAATAAGGGAAACAAATTGGTGGTTCAGACTGTTTTGCCAGCAAGAGGATGATGTGCAGAAGTCAGATGGGTCATTTCAAATGAGAAGGACAGCAGAGAAAAGACCAGAGATGGATAGACAAGGAAAAGGCAGATAAAGCCTCATGAAAATTGTTATTCCCCAGTCTCAGTCTACGGTTGCTCACACTGGCCAAGAAACTGCTCCAGGAGAGATGATATACTTTTAGTTCCATAAATTCTACACCATATCACTGGGGTGTAGATCTGGGGGGGAAAAAAAATCAATATATATGTGGTGAAAAAACAAACATTTTTTTCCTGTCTGCATGTTTTCTGGTTTTGCTTTGTAGGCAGTATGCAACTGCTTGAAAGGATATTCTGGAGATGGCAAAAGATGCACATACATCAGTCTGTGTTCACAAGTGAGTATCCATTTAAGGAGACAAGTTAAGGTCTCATTATAATCAGGACACTTTTAGGGTTTGTATGCTAAGAATCCACTTACATTTACTCTGGTAATTTATAAATATGCCTGGTTCAGTACATGCTTTAGTGCTGTCACTATGATGGAAGCTAAATATGCAGGATGGACTTTTCCTGGACCACAGCCTGGACATAATACAAGTGAGGGCAGCCACCACATCCCTGGATTAAGTCTTTCTAAACTATATAAATGAGGGGGGAAAAAAGTGGTGAATTAGAATTGTTTTGTACACCTGGCAACAAAGGAATGAAATCTTTTGATCCTACCAGAATAACGGAGGCTGCAGTGAATTTGCCATCTGTAATGACACTGAGCTGACAGAAAGGACCTGCACCTGTAAACCCAACTATGTCGGGGATGGATTTCAGTGCCGAGGCAACATCTTCCAGGTAAAGGGCTGCACATTTGCTGTCCCTTGGTTTCCTTCATATAGTTATTTAATACAATGTTTGAAATCTGCCTTTCTTCTACCTCCTTGGACAAATTTGTACCTCAGAATTTGAAATAATCCCAATCCAAGACACCAGAAACAGGATGCTGCCTAAAAAAATCCCCAAACCGTAAACCACAAAAAAGTGATGGACAATCATCATGACTGCAGTACTAGGGAGATTTAGGGTTCAAAAAACCCTGCTGTTTGACAGAGAAGGTAAAAGAGGAGCAGGAGCTATATAGATAATCAGCATTTTTTCCAAACCAGAAGTTCCCCTTCTTGTCCTAGTGCTGCATTTGTTTGCATTCCACAGACGTTGGCTTCTCACATTTGCAGCACTCTTACAGAGTCTTGTTCTTAATTGCAGGAACTTCTCAGGAACTCAAACACATCTAGGTTTTATTTCCACTTAGAGGTAAGAAAAGGTTGAGTGGGGTTAGTTGGGTTGGGTTTTTTTTTGGGGGGATCTCCTCCTTCCTCAGGAGTTTGGGGGGAGAGGACTAGGCAAGAACCTGAAGTGTACCAACATCCTCCGACTTAACTGGGTCTGGATTTGAATTACCAGTCACTAATACTGGAGATGCTTTAATTTAACCTACTAATGGTCATTAAAACCTCTAGAGTATTAATGATGAAGACCAAGATCCCAGGAAAATGTAGGGCCTCCAGACCAGGCATAAAACTGAAGTTTTCACCCATTCACCGTCAGATCTGCCAGCATATCTCTCATGAAGTCTAATGCAAGAAAATACCACTCATTAACTACCCTTTCTGCACCACCAAACTTCACTGTTTTCAGCTGCCTCTGTGAGCCATAGCAAAATGTTCTGTGTTGCAGGACAGCTCTGTGTGTTGTACTGCCAACTCTCACTGCTGTCTGGAGCTTGGCAGGCAGTAACTCTGTTTTCCCCAAGCCTCAGGGCAACAGAGATCTGCTCACCCAAGGACGCACCTTCTAGCTGCAGTTTTGCTACCATGGTAGACAGATCCATTCCACTTTAACAGAGCTCTCTTCTTATTTTAGCTCATCCATGATCACTGCAAAGTGATAGGTCCATTTGTACCCCTAAGAGTAATTAATATACTCCTGTGTATAAGCAACCATGTATCAGCTAAATGCACATACAAACACACACATACATATTGTCCACTCTTGCCTTTCAAGACGAAATTGTTTAGTCATCCTCCCTTGCCCAGATAGGAATAGCTTTCTCCATGCTCCCTACGTTAGTATCTGTTGGAAGCTTTCCCTCTTCTGTTTCTTATTGCAGAGGAGACAGACTTGGCTATAAGCCAAGAGAGCAAGATCTTTCACTTAATACCTGTGAGCAGAGGTGGCAGGCAGGGCTAGGAGTGGAAGCCCACATGAGAGAGTTTCTCTCACCCTTGCACTGCAGGGAAGGAAACACAATGCATGGCAGCAATGGGGCTACAGGCACCACCTCCTCCTCCTCCACAGGGCACTGCCCATGGAGTCATGCACTCATTACTTCTTTGTCCTCTTAAACTTGGCAGGTCTTGTCTATCAGAGATATTGCAGGCTCTGGTCCTTTCACTCTGTTTGTACCTCACACAGACATACTCAGCAGTGACCCACGAGTAAGTAAAAGGATCAGATGTTTTTACTGAGTTGTCCATGAGTTTCTAGCTTCAGACACCTTGCTCAACTGCTTCTCAACTCCTCCACTTTCTGCTGTAGGTCAAGGACTGGATTTCCAAAGGAATGATGGCTCAAGTCCTCAGGTACCATATGGTAGGTTGTGCCAATCTGTTGTACAACGACCTGATGAGAATCACAAACATCACCTCTCTCCACGGCGACCTGATATACATCAGCTACTCGCAGGTAACTGAACATGAAGAGGCAAAGGACAGGATAATAAAACAGTCTACTCTGATTCAGCTTCGTTAAAACACTTAAATGGTTCCCTTTCCTCCTCTGACACACAAAAATAAATCAATGGCATTAAAAAAAAAGATTGCCTGTTCAGCTGAAGTGTTCAGCACTTACCCAGAGTGGAGTTGTACAACCTTCGCTTTGGCACAAGTTATTTTATCCTCAGAGTCTGGCTTTATGAGCATAGTGAGAGTTTGAAAAAGCAAAGGGCAATTTATTAAACCTGAAACTACTCTTTGCTGCAAATAAAAGATATTCTGGGCTCATCATATCAAAGCAATTCAGCCTGACTCTCCCACAAGGTTCCAGAGAAGACTTGTTTGTGTTGCCTTTCCAGAACTCACTGGTTTTGAACAACCAAGCTGAAATTATAGTCAGCGATGCTGTTGGCACAAATGGTGTGATCCATGTCATAAACCAAATTCTGGTCCCATCACACATGCAGGATGTCCCCCTAAAGAAGGTATGTACAGCCTTTTCCACAGTTACTTCTAGATATATGTCATATAATTCATAAAAAAAAGTTATACTAAAAAGACCTTATAACAAACTTTGTCTGGCACTGCTGAATAAATTAAATGTTATATATTTAAATTTCACTGGAATTGCAGGTATATCAGAACAGTGTAAGAGGAGTTTTGACAGGGCTTATACAGTGGCTGTGATTGCATTACAAGAAGTGACTTAGAGGGAAAAAACAAGCTTATACCTGCTTTGTATTGCTTAGGTCAATTACTCACATTTCTTTCCTTGTAGGAAACTCTTAAAATGGTTGCAGCCAGAAACGGATACAACCTGTTCAGCAGTTTGCTAGAGGTAAGGACACAAGGGACAGGAGCCACTGGGCAAAGGTTGCAGACACTTTTGTTAAAGGCAGAAGCACATACATAGCACATGGCATCACTGGCAGAATGCTCAGCACTCAGTGGAGCCAAAGAGCTCACAACACAGTACACAATAATGCTGAGTCACCACGCTGTCTCTCACAGAGGTGAGGGGATGTCATGCAGACCCACAGCCACCTTCTCCCCCTCACTCAGCTCTGTCCTACTGTATATCAAATTATGTGGCCAAGGTTTGACCCAAGTGTGACCTTCAGAGCCCAAAGTTGGGCCATCAGCCTGGTTTTCAGCGGGCAGTCCTGGGTGGTGATGCACTTCTAAGAATTCCACTATGTAACTCAACTTTGTCAGCTCAACCCTGGCATCTGGTTTTCAATGTCAAGGTGTGTTCAGGCTGGTGACCAGGCAGCCCACAGGCCACTGCATGCCTGTTATACCAGACATTCACGCCATAGGGTCAGGGTCATTTTAGAGCATTAATCCTCCACCCCAATTTTCGGTGTGTTGCAGAAAAACAACCTGCTTGGCCTGATCAATGATCCTATCCACCAACCTGTCACCCTCTTTTGGCCCACGGACACAGCCATCCGCGGGCTGCCACAGGAGCAGCAGGACTTTCTCTTCAAGAAGTCCAACACTGACAAATTGGTGCAGTACCTCAAATTCCACATTGTTCGTGATGCTGCGGTGAGTCCTTGGTTTGTAGGAATATTGCCAAGGCCAAAATATGCAAGGCAAGATGTGCATCTCCTCTGTTTCCTTCCCAGGTGTTGGCCTACCAGCTCCCCCTCTCCACCTCACTGAAGACCCTGCAGGGCTCCAACCTCAGCGTGAGCTGTGGGGATAACAGCGAGGTTGTAAGTGTTCACTCTGCCAACACACTTATCCCTTGTCCCTGCTGCAGGATCCACTTATGCAGACCACACTGTATCCATGCACAGCCCCCAGGGAGGACCAGTGGCATCACAACTTCATTGGTCTTTGCCAGTGCATGCCAACAGCCACACTAACAGATTCAGCAAACTAGATGGTTAGTAGGACTCTTTGGAGCAGCTGTTTGCTCTGTTTTAAGATGCTACTTGTTCAAAACAGCTCTCAGTTGCCTTGAAACTAAATACCAGCACATTGTAGCTTCCACAATGGAATACCAAAGGAAAACCATTAAGGCTGACCTAGCTTTGAACCCCATGAATGCACCATCTGCATGCAAGCTTGGGTTTGTAAGCACTTTAAAAAGTAAGATTGCTGGCACACAGCATGTTAAACCTGAACAACATCACACTTTTCTTTGCAAAGGTCTCAGATCATACCGGGCAAGCACCTAAGCCTAAATAAGCATAAGGTAAACCTGTGGACGTAGGGCTGGTACACTCTGTCCCCTTCAGCAGAGAAGGTCATAGAAGTCATATGACGGTTTAGGTGGTAAGGAACCTTACAGATCATCTAGTTCCAACACCCTTGCTGTGGACAGGGACACCTTCCACCAGCCCAGGTTGCTCAAAGCCCCATCCAACCAGGCCTGGAACACTTACAGGACAGGATATCCACAACACCTCTGGGAAACCTGTCCCCAGGTGTCTCAACAATCTCACAGTAAAGAATTTCTTCCCAAGAGCTAATCTAATCCTGCCTTCTTTCAGTTTAAAGCCATCATCCCTTGTCCTGTCACTACATGTAGAAAGTCCCTCTCCCACTCTCTTATAGCCTCACTGGAAGGTTGCTCCAAGGACTCCCCAGAGGTTTTTCTCCTCCAGGCTGAACAACCCCAACCCTCTCAGCCTATCTTCATAAGAAAGGTGCTCCAGCCCTCTGACCATCTTTGTGGCCTCCTCTAGACTTGCTCCAACAGATTCACACCCTTACTCTGTTGGGAGCCCCAGAACTGGACACAGTACTCCACAGATCTGCCCATCCATGAGGTTATAGCATTCAGCCATAGGCAGAGAGGCACCAAAATTGGTTTGGAGCCCCTACAGTTATCAATGGTACCTACAGGATAGTTTGACACACCACCTTGAACACAGAGCATTCCGATAGGGACAAAGTTATCCTCAACGACCATTCAGGCTCTGGATTGAGCCTGACCCCAAGAAACAGTGGCTCATGACTTCTCACATCCCACCTTTCCCCATCCCATCCCTCAGGGTGCACTTTTCCTGAATGACAGACAGTGCAAGATAGTACAGAGGCAGCTGGAGTTTGACGGCGGCATTGCCTACGGTATCGACTGCCTGCTGACAGAGCCCAGCCTGGGGGGTCGCTGCGACAGCTTCTTCACCGTGGATTTCATGGTTAGTCCCATTTTTGGTCTCTCACCCTGACAAAGACACAGCCCAAGGGCCAAACTCCATCTTCCCAGAGACCGGGGTAACACTCACTGCAGCTTTGGCACTACTGAGAGTAAGTCTCACTACTTCAGGGTGCCTTCATGTCACACTGATTAGAGCTGAGATTAAGAAGCACAGCACAATGCCTGAAAGATGCACAGCAGAAATTCTGCATCCACATTAAACAACAAAAAGGACAAGTGATTTCAATAAAAACAGTACCTTACACATGGGAGCAAAGACAAACCATAGAATCATAGAATCAAAAAAGACCTCCAAGATCATCAAGTCCAACCCTACTGTGACTACTAGACCATGGCACCAAGTGCCACATCCAGTCTCATCTGAAAAACCCCCAGGGA